AGTTCTTGCACATCTGTTTTCAAAGATATACTAATACAGTAGAAGGCGACCTCTGCAGCACTGATTCTAGCAAAAAGAAACAAGACATTGATATCACTGGGAAACATGTCTCTATACAGAGCCTCGTATATGGTTTTTAAGGAAACCTAGAAGCATTTCCACCCCATCAGGTTCAAGTGGAGCAACTTTATCCCTTCCAACCCATACTAGATTCCATTTTCAGCACTCATCAAGAACATACTTCTGGACACTCGAATGTGGCTCTTTTTCATAAGCTTTAAGAGCCTTAAAGATCCTTTCTGTCAATTTGGCACTTCCTGTACATGTTTATAAACAGTTCAACTTTGTTCTTGGATTCCAAGAAAGCCATCATTTCTTTGTCAATGAAAAAGCATCAGCACATGGATGAAGCAGAATAAGAGAAGATCTGTTCTTAATTGGCAGAATTATGAATATAGCCTTTTCAGTGTAGTAGCATGAAAATGTTTCGAATCTACAAATTCTGGCTTTACATCTAATAAGTATTGTGATATCCCAGTCCAAACATTAACTGGAACAAATGCAATGTACTCATAGCATCTTCTGGAAGTGTTCTTTGAGTTATCTGATCTGGTTTGATAAAACCAATCATTGAATTTGGAAGATGAATATGTTCATAGCATCTTCTGGAAGTGTTCTTTGAGTTATCTGATCAGGTTTGGCAGAACCAATCATTGAAATTGGAAGAGGAATGTGCTAATAGCATCTTATGGAAGTGTTCTTTGAGTTATCTGATCTGGTTTGGTAAAACCAGTTATTGAATTTGAAAGATGAATGTACTCATAGCATCTTCTGGAAGTGTTCTTTGAGTTATCTGATCTGGTTTGGTAAAACCAATCATTGAATTTGGAAGATGAATATGCTCATAGCATCTTCTGGAAGTGTTCTTTGAGTTATCTGATCAGGTTTGGCAGAACCACTCATTGAAATTGGAAGAGGAATGTGCTAATAGCATCTTATGGAAGTGTTCTTTGAGTTATCTGATCTGGTTTGGTAAAACCAGTTATTGAATTTGAAAGATGAATGTACTCATAGCATCTTCTGGAAGTGTTCTTTGAGTTATCTGATCTGGTTTGGTAAAACCAATCATTGAATTTAGCATCTTCTGGAAGTGTTCTTTGAGTTATCTGATCTGGTTTGGCAGAACCAATCATTGAAATTGAAAGATGGATGTGCTCATAGCATCTTCTGAAAGTGTTCTTTGAGTTATCTGATCTGGTTTGGTAAAACCAGTTATTGAATTTGAAAGATGAATGTGCTCATAGCATCTTCTGGAAGTGTTCTTTGAGTTATCTGATCTGGTTTGGTATGAACCCCAAAACCAATCATTAGATTTAAAAGATGAATTTGCTCATAGTAGAAATAAGGAGACCCAATAGCATCTTCTGAAAGTGTTCTTTGAGTTATCTGATCTGATTCGGTAGGAACCCCAGAACCGATCATTGGAATTGAAAGATGAACTGCATGATCATCTTCATTAAGAAGCTTCTTTTCAAGCTTCCTCTGCTTCTTCCTTTTCCACAAATCATAGCCCAAGTTTCGCCTTTGCTTGTAATTGGGATCATTGCATAATGGCTTCCCATTTTTTACCGGAAGAAATGTGTCAGCAGCCTTAGCCATTTGAGCAGCACATATAAAATTTGTCAATTTTGCAATTGATGAATCTGGACCACATCTCTCCATGGCTATTGAAGCTTCAGCCTCTGAGAATCCCATTTTTGTCAAGTATAACAGTTTATTCTCCTCATCAGAATCAGAATTCAAGATTTCTCGGTATTAAAAGAACTATCGATATCTGTGAAATCATCTTGAAAGGTCATTTCATAATCAGATGAGTTGTTATCAGAATCAACATGTCGCATGAAGGCAAGCTTTTCAAGAGCCTATACTATTGAGTTTTATTTTCAAGATCTACATCTACATTTGTCAAAGATGATAGTTTCTCTGTTTTGAAGAAGAAAGATCTATTGGGTTTTACAATTGAAGGAATACTCAATTCACCAATCTGAAATCAAATAAACTTAACATTCATGCATCATATTTAGGTGTTTGCAAAATAGGTGCATTTTCATTCATTTTCATCCATGCTGAATTTTTAACAGGAATTTCAAAGATTTTAGCAAAGATTTAAATCCATCATTCAATGGATCAACTTTTCCATTTCGAGTTAATAATGAGAAGAACTCATCTGAAGGGAGAAGAAGAAATTCATAATGAGAAGAATTTGTTAAACCTTATGCTCAAATCCATCACTTGATGGATCAGCTTTTCCAGAGAAAGTTCATAATGAGAAGAACTCATCTGAAGAAGGAATAAGAAATTCATAATGAGAAGAATTTGTTCAACCTTATATTTAAATCCATCATTCAATGGATCAACTTTTCCAGTTCGAGTTCATAATGAGAAGAACTCATCTGAAGAAGGAAGAAGAAATTCATAATGAGAAGAATTTGTTCAACCTTATGCTCAAATCCATAACTTGATGGATCAGCTTTTCCAGAGAAAGTTCACAATGAGAAGAACTCATCTGAAGAAGGAAGAAGAAGTTCATAATGAGAAGAATTTGTTCAACCTTTTGTTTAAATTCATCAATTGATGGATTAACATTGCCAGATAAAGTTCATAATCAGAAGAACTCGTCATCTGAAAAAGAAAGAAGGAGTTCATAATGAGAATAACTCATTTGAAGAAAAGAAAGTTCATAATAAGAAGAGCTTATTCAACCTTTTGAATGACTCTATCACAGAAAGAAAGAGGTCAACATTATCCCCAGCGGAAAGTTCATAATGAGAAGAACTCATCTGAAAGAAAGAGAAGAATTTATTCAACATCTCTATACTAATCAAGTGAAGTCAAATGAAAAAAAATTATTATCTTTTCGTCTTTGCTCTATTCTTATTAAGAATAAGCAAAGAGGGGCAGCTGAAGATATTCATTTTTTTCATTTTAATGTTATTATTATTATTATAATTATTATTATTATAATTATAATAATTATTATTATTATTATTATTATATATTATTTAATATTACAAGCCCAAAATAGAAACCCATTTACAAATCCTGAAGCCCAAACCTAATCCGACTGATAACCCTTTTAGGGTTTTCTGAAAATTCCAGCCGCCTCAGCCAACGGTCCAGCTTCCAGCCGCCTCTGCTGCCATGCCACCCCATCGAAGCCTCCAGAAGCGCCTCGTCATCACCCCTTGTCGAAGGCTCCATAAGACCCAGATGGTCACCCACGTTGCTACTCTAGCGGTGAGTCACCACATAGTTCGGTGACTCACCGAAATCCGCTCTTCGGACCGGTCTCAGACTAGTGCCGGTGATGGCTATAAAGCCATCACCCCATCTGCGAGAAAAGGAGAAAAGGAGGAAGAACGGAGAAGACGACAACAGAGACAGAGAGAGATAGAAAACAGAGAGCAACATCCCACAACCAGCAAAAAACCAAAACAAAAAGGAAAAGAAAAGAAAGGAACTTACCGAGGAAGCCACCGGACCCCTTCAAACGTCACCAAAACCTTCAGAAACCGAAGGTACTTCTTTATATTCGCTCCGATTAGGAGCCATTTAGGAGAAAAGAGCACCGGAACCGTCCTTAGGACGGTCCGATCTATCTAATGGTGTAAAAATAAAATTTTCCGGCCACCGGATGCGGTGGCCGGCGGTGAGGGTCACGGCGGCAGACGGTTGCCGTCCGGTGACCGGCTTACCTCCGGTGAGGGAAGCTAGAGAGAAGGGAGAGATTTTGTTCATTCTCTCTCAGTTAGAGAGAGAATGAAAACTGGAAAATGAAAGAGATGGCCCGAAGGGCCGTCCGTTTTGGGCATTAAATAGCCCTTCCCAAACGACGTCGTTTTGGGGAGGGCTATTTGTGTAATTATTAATAGTTAAATCCTGTCCGCTATCCCTTTAATTTGTAAACTTTACATTTTAGTCACTAAATCGAGTTTATAATCCTTTTAATTTGATCTTTAAATTTTAGTTTTATTTATTTTAGTCCTTTATATTAAAATAATATATATAGGGTAAATAACGGATTTAATCCCTTAATTTTAATAATTAATATTTTAATCCCGAGTTTATAATTTTAATTTATTTTAATCTGATATCCGAATTTTAGATAAGTTTTATTTTAGTCACTAAATTAATAAAATAAGAAAATAGCATGTTTAATCCCTATAATTTTGATTAATTATGAATTAGGTTTTTAATTTTACTATAATTTAGTCACTAATTTTAAATGTTTTCATTTATTGCTTTTAAATATATCGTTCTAATTGTATTATTATTGTTTTAATTTTACTTATATATTTAAATATTTTTATTATTATTATGTAGTCATAAATATATAATAAATAATAATTTATTTATTTATATAAATTATTTTAATATTTATTTTTCAATATCGAAGAAAAGGGCAGTCTTAATACAACTGGATGTCCTATTCTAATATTTTAAAATTAAATATTATAAAAAATTATTATTTAATTTTATGTAAATTAATATTTATTAATATCAAAGAAAAGAACTGTCTTAAGGTACCTAGAAGTCCTTTTCCGATATTTTTAAATAAATAAATATTTTTTATATAATTTTAAAATAATAGGATTATAAATTAAATATATTTTGAATTTTTAAAATTTTAATAATAGAGACAATTTATAAATAAAAAAAAAGTACCAATTTTGGGCGTTGTAGGGGTGCTAATCCTTCCCTAAACGTAACCGACCACGAATCCCTTTTTATTATAAAAAAAGAATGAATTTTTGGTTATAAACGCAGATCAGTTCATTTTTTATTTGATGTTTTCTTAAAACTCTTTTAAAAAATAATTTTTAGGTATTCGACCTACCTGACCCAAAAGGCCGATGGCGACTCCCAAATTATTTTCAAAAACCATTTATTTACATCAATTTTCCCGCCAAATAAATATTTCGTGCCCGGACGAAAACTGGTTACGACACATATGTCCCACATTTACAGAAACTTTGCTGCAAACCCTCGTACTCAAGTTGCTGAACCACTCCATCAATACGGATAGTCGGGATAAGATGTTTGTTCATGTTGACCACAATAGCTAGTCGAGTAAAATGACCACGGTCCCTAGCCAAAGTTTTATAGTCTATCTTGATTACCTTCCCAATGGCATTAGCAATGCATATGAAAAGAGCTTTTGAATAGTATCGATAAGGTAGTTTAGGAATACGAACCCAAACAATTACCTGGGAAGAAAATTTTTCAGATGCAGAAAAGGTCCTGCTCCATAGCTAAACAGTGAGGTAGCTACCATAAACAGTCCACGGGCCATCTGTGAGGACATGAACATAATCTTCCTCATTCTTGAATATAACTATGTAATAGTCACTATCTAAATCCACCACCTGGAATTTGCCTTTCGGTTTCCACAGCAAATTGATAAAATCAAGTAGCGTTTTATACCCGATACGACGACCAAACAAACAAACTATTATCGAGCGCCTCATACTCTGATCGACACGCTCATGTACTTTCTCATAAAATTCAACTGAGAAAATCTGTCCACTTGTATCAACGATAGCATCCCCTTCCTCAAGGAAGACATCATCAAGACAAGGGACCGGAGCAGGAATCATCTAGTGCTGCACTCCTCCTGAAACTATTCCTGAATACGATTTGATACATGATAGTGCACCGTTGTCGCTGGAGGGAATCCGTTCTTCATTATCCATCGCAGTAATTGTATCCACAGCCATCGAAAATGCTTCAGAGGCCGTCTCACAAGCATTCCCGACTTTCTTCAATGCACGAGCAGTATCGATAGGCGATCCGGGTCTCTCCAGGGAATTTAGATTCTCCAGATTAATCCCGTCAGTCCTAGGTGGGTCTTGGACAATGTCGGGAGGAACCTGCGGAGGCAAACAAGGGGATCCGCTGGCGGGACATCGAGGTGCAAAGGATCCTCATTAGGGTTTTACAGATTTCTATCACGTACGTTGACTTTTTTCACCATTAGGGTTTTATGCTCTTATTTTACTTTTACTTTCTTCTTTAATTTCTTATCATACAAAAATACTAAGCATATTCCAATTCTTTAATTTCTTATCATACAAAAATACTAGGCATATTCCAATCCATGCCTAGTTAAACTCATAATTAGCCTAACCTTTGCAATGGCTCAATTGTAGATAATGAGAATCGATTTTAGTGCTAAATATTTTTGATATTGTACTCTTCGTTTCTCCTGAAACTAGAAGTGGTAATTGGCCATTCTTTTTAAAGGTTAAGACATCTTCAACTTAAAAGGTGGACGTTGACTTGAAGATATTTTGACTTGTAGTTTGAAAATTGGATCGGTTGGTTGTAATTCAGTTTATTGTGAATAAACTTGGAGGTGATCCACTAAAGGGATAAAGATCAGGTTCGAGCAAATAATCGTTGGCGGGACATTGTTAACTCGACTTAGGATTTTCGAGAACTTAAGGTTTTTGTAGTTTTGAATCACAATTGTTGTGGTTAAGATCTTTCGGAAAGAATTAAATTTCTGGGTTGGTTTAGAGTCGATTAATAAAGGAAGACTTAACTATACAGGTTGGTTCTTGTAGTCGGTAAACAACGTACTTTCGAAAAGGGAAAATTTATTTTGATAAATGATCAAAATTGATGCTAAGCAAAGCTTAAGGCTAAGAAAATTCATATTTGAATAATTTCATTATTTATTCTATCATTCATTTTTTATTATTCATCATTACTTTATTATTCTCGTTTTCTCTAAACCTCTTTATTTATTTTTGCAGTTGAGTCAAAAGATTTAAACAAGGAAACGATATTACTAAATTTTCTAAGTTCATGCGGATCAACCCTACTTCTATATACTAGATTTTATCTTTAATATATATATCAAGAATTTTATTTGATGAAATGGATAACTTATCAAGTAGATACTAGATTATGAGCATCAATATTATTTTTTATTAAATGAGCATCAATATTGAATGATAAATATTGATACTTAGACAAATACCAATTTGGTATATTGTGTCTCTATTTCAATTGATTGGTATAGATACTCGATTCTAGTATCGATACCAAAATGACATATATAATATCGATACTTTTGTGGGTAGTTCCAATATCTCTTAGTGATTTGTAGGGACGGAGCCACTAAGGGCTTGGGAGGGGTTGTGGCCCCCCACCCAGGCAAAATTTTTTTTACCTTTAATTTATATATAAAATTTAAATATTTATGGGATAATTATGAAATTGTCCCCCAATTTTAAAAAAGTTATACTTTACCCCCTTAAGTTGAAATCCTCACTCTGTCCCTTGTGATTTGGTATTAACACCACCTATATAATATGGATATCAATCACACAGAAAAGATCAAATTTATCATAAAACATACCTTTAACCTTTCCAATCATTCACTAAATGACATATATAATCTAGTTAAATTAATTCACATCAAACACTTCAGACATACTATGATCACACAGAATTCATTAATATCACTTTACATACTTATCAATCATACTTCATCAATCATCGAGCATTATCTCTTAGTTTCATCAAGGGTCATACTTGTTCATATGCCAAACTTACCTTGTTCATCATGAATGATGCATTGATGTTATCAATTCAACTTTAGCAACATAACATGATTAACCCCCAAAAATAATAACATAAACTCGTACTTAGCATGGTTTATACAAAATAAATAAACCAACTCAAATATTGCTCAAAATGTCATTTAACACACATCACAAAACCATATACATAGATCGCTAATGACTTGCGACCCACTAGATGCAATCCTGAACTAAGCTTTTGAGATCAATGTCCTATAAAATAAGTAAACCAAAAAAAATATAAGCTTACATTGCTTAGTGAGCTAGTCTTAACCATGAATACTATTGGATATCATCTATATGATCATGCTTTAACAATAAACAATTGAAATGTGGGCAACAATAAGATGCTTACTTGTAGAACAATGTAAAGTACAATAAAAATTAATATTATCCCTATAGTACTTTTTCAACACGTGGAAACACGAATGCTCTTAAGTCACTACTAATAGTGAACTAGCATATTAATATGGTCAATCCTCTAACTCTATCGGGACATAAGTCAGGCCAATCATCAACATCCCTCCTAACACTACCAAGACTAAAGTCTATACGAGACTCGTACAAGTGTTATGGACGCTATTGTATGCTAATTTTATTCGAGACATGACAAGATAACCATGGGCAATAACTAGTCAGAATGTAATCACTTACCAACACTCGTTGCATTTCATATAACTACAATAGTTTCAAGTTTGCTTTTATTATTTTATTATTTATTTATCATTTTATTATTTACATCCAAATCCCATGCCGCAACCCAGATAGCCCAACAGAAGATCCAAACCCTTTAGGGTTTGTAACATTTCAGCTAGGGTTTTCTAACCCTAGCCCCAGCCGCCAATGATCCAGAGTCCTCCACGCCACCGCCGCCCTTGTTGCCAGGTGGTCCAACGCCCCACTGCCGACACCTCCACCCGCCATTACCGACACTCCTTTGCCACACTACACTTGATGAAGCTTCCAGAAGAGCCAGCTACCATCCCCACTTCGAGCTCTATGGTGAGTCACCGCCATAGCTTGGTGACTCACCGAGAAACCTCCCTGGGACCGCTCCAAAGATAGCTCAATGGTGGCCTATAAATATGGCACCGAACATGCAAAGAGGGGATCCATCGACAAAAAACAGAACAGAGAGAAGAGCAACAAGAGACCAACAACAAACAACAACGACGAGGAGAGCAAAATAAAAAAAAGTGAAAAACAAAGAACAAGTACACCAACAGCAGAGCCATTAAACAGAAAAAAATAGAGTGAAGGTATCGAGCATTTTACCTTCGTCAGAGCCTCCCTACGCCATTGAAACCGAAACACCGAAGGTAACCACTTTACATCTACGCATTTTGGGAGTGATTTAGGCTAAAAAAAACCTTTGGATTTGGCTTTAGGGAGAGCCGGGCTTTAATCTGGGGTAAATATGTAATTTTCGGCCACCGTGGTTGGTGGCGGTGGTGATGATCGGCGCCGGAACTTGACCGTCAGCCGGTGGTCGGTTGGATGTTTAGAGAGAAGACAGAGATAAATTTTTATTTCTCTCTGTTAGAGAGAGAAAGGAAATGATAAATGAAGAAAAAAATGGCTCTTAGGGGCTGGTTTTGGGTTTAAATACCCTCCCCCACACGACGTCGTTTTGGGGGAGGGGTATTTGTGTAAATTCTCATGTGGTTAAACCATACGCACAGTCACCAGAAGTTTATAAACTTCTATTTTAGTCACTAAAATCAGTTTATATTCCTTTCAAATTCGACTTTCAATTTTACTTTATGCTATTTTAGTCACTTCACCGTAGTTATAAATATTTAGGGTAAATTCTCTTTTATGTCCTTTATAATTTAAAGTAAATTTATTTTAATCACGTGTAAATTATTAGGGTAAATTACACTTTTAATCACTTATATTTCATAATATTTTGAATAAAATCTTTTAATTTTAATATATTATAATTTAATCACTATTTATAAGCTCTATTAATTTTTATATTTTGCATTTTAATCCTATTATTTTAATTTTATTTGTTTTAGCCATTGTTTAGTTAGATTTTAATTTTATATTTTATTTTCAATATATTTATTATTATTCGTTAGTATATATATATATATATATATATATGTATATAATAAATAATATTTATCTATTAATTTTGTTTCTATTAAAATCCTATTTATAAATTTAATAAATTACTTTTAATCATTTTAATCATATTTTAATATATATTTATCAATATTAAGAAAATGCAGTCTTAAAGCAACTGGATGTTCATTTTCTGATATTTTTAAATAAATACATATCTTACTTCTATAAATTATATCTATTTTTAATTATTTTTAGATAAATGTTTTAATGTTTATTTATTTTTTAATATTAAGAAAAGAGTTGTCTTAAAGCGCCTAGAAGCCCTTTTCTGATATTTCTAAATAAATATATATCTTATTTATATATATAAATTAATAGATTTTCTTAAAATTATAAATTTGAAATAATAGAATTATGAATTAAGTATAGTTTTTTTGAATTCTTAAATTTCCAATAATATAGACAAATTATAATTAATGAGTACCAATTTTGGGCGTTGTGGGGGTGTTAATCCTTCCCCAAATGTAATCGACCACGAATCCCTTTTTATTATTAAAAAGAACGAATTTTTTTATTAAAACACAGGCCCGTTTATCTTTTAACTGATGTTTTCTCAAAAACACTTTTAAAAGATAATTTTTAGGTATTCGACCTACCTGACCCAAAAAGCCGATGGCGTCTCCCTAAACATTTTAAAAACCATTTATTCATATCCCTTTTCCCGCCAAGTAAAAAAATTCGTGCCCGGGCGAAAATCGGTTACGACAGCTTGGCGACTCTGTTGGGGACCTGGTCAAGCTTATAAATCAATCATAAATTGTCTCTATTATTGGAAATTTAAGAATTCAAAAATATATATTTAATTTATAATTCTTTTCTTTCAAATTTTTTTTATATATACTTATGGTTTTCATAATATTATTTATTATATATTC